CTGAACTTCCTGACTACTTTCTGAGCACTAATTCATCTGTATCCGTAGTCCAAACACGCCCAGGTGAACTACAGACTTTAAAACAGCCGCAGGTGTGAACGTGAAGGTGCCAGCCCCGTGACGGACTGGCGACCTGTCCAGGTACAGATAACACAAGGATGTTTATCTATTCGTTGTGAGATGTTTCTTGATTCAAATCACCAGTTTGTTTATATTTTATTCTATTTAGTGAAAACAACAGAAAACACTGAGCACTGATGTATTAAAGGTTTGGTTTCCTGTTCTGAATTAAAAATGCATCTCTAAGGTGCACAACAAAGGTTTCAGCACATAACCACAAAGCGAATATGTAAAGGAGAAAATCCCTTTAGAATTTTATGGCAGATTTCCGACATGTGGAACAGACTGTTAGTCACACAGAGCTGCTCTGCGCAGGGCCTCCTGCCAGTCACAGCCCAGGGCCACATATGTTGGTGTTGAAAGGACTTTAGGTAGAAAAGGTTTTGAATCTGTGTAGAAGATGCTGTAGCGGCACCTCAACCAGTCAACGTAGAGGAGCTGCAAGCAAGACTTTATTTCCTAATGTTACTTCAATACAACAAACTCCTCCCCCTCGTTTCCACCGCTTCCTGCAAAAAACTCGCCTCTGACAAGATTTCAGAGCGAGACTTCAGTTTCCTGTTAAAAACAAAGGGGGTCACCGGGAGTCCCTCGTAGGGATCTTTTCCATGATGCTGTCAGACAGCTGCTAAAACAGTCTGAGGCTGTCGCTGGCAACAGGAAGCTCTTTCTGTGGACGCCATTTTAACCGGCGCAATCGCCCCGAAGGAATACGCTGCAGCCGGTTCAGCTGCCGGGGGAAACGCCTTGTAAGGAAAGGGCTGCACCTGATTTATCCTGAACTGACAAAACCTAAAAGCTAAGTCTGTCACTTTAACCCACGACAGCCCGCTGCAGAATCATCACCAAAGAAAGAAAAAACCTCCGGTCGTGCTGGATTTGTCCTTTCAGGTGCATGTTGGCGGGCAGATGAACGAGGCGGGGCGGCTGCTGCGGAGCCCGTCCACTTCCTCACCTGTCCACCAACACGCCGTCAGGGAGCTGAGCTCTGCTCTGATTGGCTGGCTGGGTCTCTTACCGGTCTTTGAGGTCCAATGGGCTCTGACTCTCTTCGGCGGGGGCGTCCTGACGGCAGCGAGTGACAGGGCGACTGGGCGGGGCTCCCGCCACTCCTTCTCGACGCCTCCTCCTCCGTTAGCGTTAGCATCCCTCGGCTGCTCTCCCTGGTGTGGGTCTTTGGACGAACCACCAGCTCCCCTCCTGCAGGACAACGAGACGTTAACCAGAGTTACAAGAAATCTTCCCATCTGTGAAGCCATGAAATGTTTTTACATGACAAATTAGCTAAACCGTCAAAATAGTTGTCCAATAATTTTCTCTCAACCGACTAATCGTTCCAGCTGTTCTTGTATAAACTGCTGGAGTTTAATTTATAACAAATCATCATATTATATGAGTCATGTTGAGTCGGTGTGTACATATGCAAAAACAATGTCGGACACCGTAGTTTTCTCTGGACCCCTGCCAAATCTGACCAGTGATGACATGTATAGCCGCATGTCGTCATTCCGCCGCTGGTTGTCGAGGTGGTGTCCAGCAAACGATGTGGGCTTTGTTGATCATTGGCAGACTTTCTGGGGAAGACCTGGTCTGATCCGGAGAGACGGCATCCATCCCACTTGGGAAGGAGCAGCTCTCATTTCTAGAAATCTGGCCAAGTTTATTAGTGGACCAAATCCATGACAACCCAGAGTTGAGACCAGGAGGCAGAGTCGCAGTTTAACACACTTCTCTGCCCTTCTTTTTCAGCAGTTACCCACCCAAAACCCTACGCAGAGTCGCAGTCTAACACACTTCTCTGCTCCTCCATTTCAGGAGTTACTTAGTGAAAATCCTATAGTGACGGTGTCTGCCCCCCGACCATCGAAATTATTTAAAAAGGTAAACAGAAGAGGAGCTGTGCATAAAAACCTTATAAAAATTAAAACCACAAGAGCAATAGTGCAAACAAATAGGAGAGTTAAATGTGGACTCTTAAACATCAGATCTCTCTCTTCTAAAGGTGTACTAGTAAATGAACTAATATCAGATTATGATATTGATTTATTTGGTCTTACTGAAACCTGGCTGGGTGATGGAGAATATGTTAGCCTAAATGAATCCACCCCTCCCAGTCATATTAATACTCACATTCCTCGAGGCACAGGCCGAGGAGGTGGAGTTGCAGCTATCTTCGACTCTAGCCTACTAATCAGCTCTAAACCTAAACTAAACTATAACTCATTTGAAAGTCTTGTTCTTAGTCTTTCGCACCCAAGTTGGAAATCACTGCAACCAATTCTTTTGTTATAGTGTACCGAGCACCTGGCCCGTATTCTGAATTCTTATCTGAATTTGCAGAGTTTTTGTCAACTTTAGTCCTTAAAACGGACAAAGTTATTATTGTAGGGGATTTTAATATTCATGTAGATGTTGAGAATGACAGCTTCAGTACTGCGTTTATCTCTTTGTTAGATTCCATCGGCTTCTCTCAGAGTGTTCATGAACCGACTCACTGTTTTAACCACACCCTTGACCTTGTTTTGGTGTATGGTATTGAAATTGAACATTTAGTGGTGTTCCCACAGAATCCCTCTTTATCCGACCACTGTTTGATAACTTTTGAGTTTGTATTGCTGAACTACTCGCCATTGGGCAAAAATTTCTATACAAGATGTCTGTCTGATAGTGCTATAGCTAAATTTAAGGATGCGATTCCATCAGCTCTAAATACATTATCTAGTCACAAAGTAACGGAGGACTCCTATGCTAATTTCAGTCCCTCCCAAATCGATCATCTTGTTGATAGTGCTGCTGGCTCGCTGCGAATGACACTCGACTCTGTAGCCCCTCTAAAAAAGAAAATACTAAAACAAAGACGGTTAGCTCCATGGTATAATACTGAAACTCGCAAATTAAAGCAAATATCACGGAAACTTGAGAGGAATTGGCGTTCCACCAAAGTGGAAAATTCTCGTTTAATTTGGCAAGATAGTCTTAAAACTTATAGGAAGGCCCTCCGTAATGCCAGAGCAGCGTACTACTCGTCATTAATAGAGGAAAATAGGAACAACCCCAGGTTTCTTTTCAGCACTGTAGCCAGGCTGACAGAGAGTCACAGCTCTATTGAGCCAAGTATTCCCATAGCTCTCAGTAGTTACGACTTCATGAGCTTCTTTAATGATAAAATTCTAGCTATTAGAGACAAAATTCACCAAGACCTGCCCTCAACTGGCACCGACTTATCTCTAAACTCAGGAACCTTAGAAACAGCTGTAGAACCAGATACATGTTTAGACTGTTTTGCTTCCCTCAATCTTTACCAACTAACTTCAATAATTTCTTCATCTAAACCATCAACCTGCCTCTTAGACCCCATCCCGACTAGGCTGCTTAAAGATGTTTTACCCTTAGTCAGCACCTCTATACTAGATATGATCAATCTATCTTTATCAACAGGCTATGTACCACAGTACTTTAAAGTAGCTGTAATTAAACCTCTTCTGAAAAAGCCCAAACTTGATCCGGATGTTTTAGCCAACTATAGACCTATATCTAACCTTCCATTTCTCTCTAAGGTTCTGGAGAAAGCAGTTGCTAAACAGCTGTGTGACTTTCTACAGAGCAATAGTTTATTTGAGGATTTTCAGTCAGGATTTAGAGCTCATCATAGCACAGAGACAGCACTGGTGAAAATTACTAATGACCTCCTTATTGCATCAGACAAAGGACTTGTCTCTGTACTGGTTTTATTAGATCTTAGTGCTGCATTTGATACCATTGACCATCAGATCCTATTGCAGAGACTGGAATATTTCATTGGCATTAAAGGAACCGCTCTAAGCTGGTTTAAGTCCTATTTATCAGATCGATTTCAGTTTGTACATGTTAACGATGAGTCCTCCATGCACGCCAAAGTTACTCATGGAGTTCCTCAAGGATCTGTCCTTGGACCAATCCTCTTCACTTTATATATGCTTCCTTTAGGCAATATTATCAGGAAACATTCCATAAGCTTTCATTGTTATGCAGATGATACTCAGTTATATCTATCGATCAAGCCAGATGAAACTCATCAGTTAGCTAAACTTCAAATGTGCCTTCAGGATGTTAAAACCTGGATGAGCTGTAATTTTCTTATGTTAAACTCAGATAAAACTGAAGTTATTGTTCTGGGGCCTAAGCACCTCCGTGACGCATTATCTAAAGATATAGTTTCCCTGGATGGCATCGCCTTGGCCTCCAGCACCACTGTGAGGAATCTTGGAGTTATCTTTGATCAGGACATGTCGTTTAAGTCCCACATTAAGCAAATTTCAAGGACCGCCTTTTTTCACCTACGTAATATTGCGAAAATCAGGAACATCCTGTCTAAAAATGATGCAGAAAAACTAGTCCATGCATTTGTTACTTCTAGGCTGGATTACTGCAATTCCTTATTATCAGGCTGCTCGAAAAAGTCCATTAAGACTCTTCAGCTGATCCAGAATGCTGCAGCACGTGTTCTGACAGGAACCAGGAAAAGAGATCACATTTCTCCTGTTTTAGCTTCTTTGCATTGGCTTCCAGTAAAATCCAGAATAGAATTTAAAATCATTCTTCTTACCTACAAAGCTCTTAATGGTCAGGCACCATCTTATCTTAAAGAGCTCATAGTACCTTACTACCCCACCAGAGCACTGCGCTCCCAGAATGCAGGGTTACTTGTGGTTCCTAGAGTCTCCAAAAGTAGACTAGGAGCCAGAGCGTTCAGCTATCAAGCTCCTCTCCTGTGGAACCAGGTTCCAGTTTGGGTTCAGGAGGCAGACACCATCTCCACATTTAAGAGTAGGCTTAAGACTTTCCTCTTTGATAAAGCTTATAGTTAGGGCTGGCTCAGGTAGTCCTGAACCATCCCTTAGTTATGCTGCTATAGGCCTAGACTGCCGGGGGATTTCCCATGATGCACTGAGCTCCTCTCTCCTCTACTTTCTCTCCCTCTGTATGCAACCTTATCCCATTATTGCATGTTACTAACACAACTTCTCCCCTTTCTGGTAGTCTTGTGCTTTCTCGTCCCTCTCCTCTCTCCTCCTATCACTTCCTGCAGGTTTTCTGGCTCTGGAGCTGTGGAGTCTGGATCTGTGGCTGCGGGTCGCCTGCTGCCCCCGTGTTCCTGCTCGACACCCTCTGCTACGACTGTTGTCGCTGGTCTTATTGTTATTATAATCATTAACATTACGATGGTTACCATTAACACTATTATAAATATCTGTACCATTTTTCATTTAGTTTATAGCAACATTACCTTCGCTGTCTGTACCTCTGTGTGTATATTGTGTAGGCTGCCTCCCTCCCCTCTCTCTCTCCTTACATCCCTCTCTCTCTCTCTCTCTCTCTCTCTCTCTCTCTCTCTCTCTCTCTCTCTCTCTCTCTCTCTCTCTTTCTCTCTCTCTCTCTCTCACCCCAACCGGTCGAGGCAGATGGCCGCCCACCCTGAGCCATGGTTCTGCTCGAGGTTTCTGCCTCTTAAAAGGAAGTTTTTCCTTGCCTCTGTCGCCTAGTGCTTGCTCTTGGTGGGAACTGTTGGGCTTCTGTAAATATCATCACAGAGTACGGTCTAGACCTGCTCTTTTATGAAAAGCGCTGTGAGATAACTGTTGTTGTGATTTGGCGCTATATAAATAAAATTGAATTGAATTGAATTATATAAAATCTGACTTTGTGAAGTACCTGAAGCTGTCAGATAAATGTAGTGAAGTGCAATATCTCCCTCTGTGATGCAGAAGGAGAAAGAAAATACTCAAGTAAAGTACCTCAAATTTGTACTTTGAGTATTTAGTTACTGTCCACCACTGCTCAGAATGGAACAGGGCTGGGAATTAACCCGGGTACCAACTAGTTATGACCTGCCATAGAACAATTCTGCCAGAGTAGGGGAGAGCCGGGACGACTGAAACGCTTTTCAGATCTATGTGTGTCCTACGACTTCAGTGTAATTTCACTTTGAACAGAAGGTGCGCACTGTTTCATTCGATAGCTTCACTGTCCACGAACACGTGAAACGAAAGTATCCCGCAGCACTTAGTCTAGACGGCAGCGCCGCAAATCGTGTTTCCTTTCTGTCGCCACACGAGCACGAGGACACGTAGGATTTCTTCATTGCCTTCATGGTAAAAGTCATTTCTGCCCCGCTGCTGTCATGATAACGTAACGTTACACCGCGAGTCATGTAACAATCGGCTGTTTCATATTTTCTGTTTATTTAACAGCCACGTATGAGCGAGAAAACAGCTGAATCTGATTACAGATGATCTGTGACTGAGTCCTTTCAGGTGTTCACTGATGCAGAAATACATTTTATTATCATTCTGCAGTACTCAATATTGAAATGAATCCATGTCAGAAACATTTAAATTCTAATGTGCTTCATCACGATGACTGAATAAAATATAGATTTATTGATTAGACATGTTTTTGATATTTATTTTGGATAAATTGGTTTGTTAATCGAGTAATAGGCAACTTTTCTTTCTTTAGAATAAACAAAATTAGTTGTTAGATTAATCGACTTGAAAAATAATCGATATGTAAAGCCCTAAATATAATATAATAGAGAACATGATGACGTCTATGAGTGATAAGAAGGGTTCACGACCAACCACAGATCTATAGAACATGTGTGCAAAGACACGCAAAGCGTTTCAGTGTTTTTGTTGTAAATGCATATTATGCATTATTTGTGCAGACTCATTAGAGGGTGAAAACAACGCAACAGGATCATGTTGAGGCCGACTTTGTATGCAGAAAGAATTATTGTTGCTGTGCATTTGGTTAAAGTTTTATTGGCTCTCAAACAGAGACACGCAAACGGAAAACGGGAGAAAAGCAGGTTTCTCTCACTTTGGTGTTCAGAATTAAGGTTTCACATTGAAAACGATAACCAGCCCTGACTGACTTTTCTTTACCCCGGTGAAAAGAAGCTCCTACCTGCAGCCCTGAGCCTCCTCCTCTCCTCCTGCTCCTCCAGGGGGCGGAGCTCCTCTGGCTCCTCGTCAGTGGTTCCTGACGTGGTTGGTTGGAAGTCTCGTAGCTCCGCCTCTTTGTCGATGATCACCCACTCTTTGCTGTCAAAGTCCTCCTCCTCGGCCAGCGGGACGGAGCGGATGAAGGCGTTGCTGTGCGCCTCCTGGTCGACGGACGCCACCGACACCTCCTGACGGCCGCTGACCTGACGGTCGCCGCGGCACCCGGGGTCGACAGACAGCATCTGAGCCGGCTGGGAGGAGTAGACGTGACGAGACGGAGAGCCGAGGATGTCCATCCTAGACCTGGAGGTCACAGAGACAGAAAGACACGGGGGAACGTGACTCCCACAGATGTTTGTTCAAACTCATCACCCAAAGTCCGAGTATAAACTAATTAAGGGCAAAGCAAAATCAAGATAAGTCTCAAGTCTTCCATGTCAAGTTCAAGTCTTGTCAAAGTATTTCTCAAGCCTGAAGGAGAGGGAAAGACCAAGTCATGTCGCAAGTTCTTGAGTTTAAGTCTTGTCAAAAACGTCTCTAGCCCCCACGTCAGTGAGGCAGAGTCCAAGTCAAGTCTATTGTCCTTGAGGGCAAGTCTATGTTTTCAAAGGAAGTCTCAAGCCTGAAGGCAGACAGCGCAGGTCCAAAATCAAGGTTAGAACTGAAGAAGCCTCTCGGATGAGAGACGAAACATCTTCAAGTATCTTTAACCAAGTAAAGTTGCCCTTGAATTTAACCTTCCTTGGGTAACTCTGACCTGGATGACTGAGAACCTTCACAGACAAACCCAAATTAATATTTCCCACTTTAACTTGTGTTTTCAAAATGTGAATCTAAAAATAAAACGAAACTCTGTTCCAGTGGTTTCACCTCTGTCCGTAGGCGTCGGGCCGGCCCTCAGCAGCAGACAGACGGTCAGATTCGGGGCTGTTGACCCGGCGATATCGTAAGGACCGACCTTGACCTGTCGGTGACTCCGGGACTCCTCCCCGAACCGGCGACCCCGGACAAGCCCCCCGACCCACCTCCTCCTCCTGACCCCCCTGAGGAAGGACAGGAAGTGATGTTTTATGGTCCAGCACAGCAGCCATTTAAACACTTGAAAGTGTAATGAGAAAATTTAAAAGGTAGGACAGAGAATAGTTGAGGAAACAGATGGTAGATGGTTGTTAGCTATGAAACCCCAAAATTACTAGTTTAATAAATATAAATACTTAAAATGGAGAGTAAGAAAAAGAAATATACTTATCCTTTAACCTCCAGTCAGTTGATACAACAAGAGAAAAGCTTCTAACTTTGAAAACAAAAGTTTTTTATACTTAAAAACAAAATGGAAATACTCAAGCAAAGTACAAATACTAAAACAATGTACTTCCACTTCTGCAAAAATCTGAACTGAACTACACAACAACTCGTACGTCAGCTTTTCTGCACCGGTTCGAACCTTGTTCAGGCTGATCCTGAGTCTGTTGCGGTTGAAGTCCGTGTCCTCCCAGGCCTCTCCTGGCTCTCCGCCGTGCGAGACGCCTGTCTCCCCGGGGGGCCGGGGTGGCGGGGCTGGCGGGGCGTTCTCCTGATCACTGAGATGTTCGTCCTGCAGAACGTCGTCAGTGTTCTCCCGCTGAAGATCTCCAGGAACCGGCGTCACGATGGCTCTGTGGTCAGAAAATGTAAGAGACTGATGTTTCAGAAACCATTTGGAAACTTATGATATGATGATAAATGAGATTCTGGTGGTTTAACGAACTGCATTCAGACTAAACCATTTTCCAAATGATGCCTTAGATATAATCAGGCCTTTGTTTGTAGTTCGTGTGGGATATGGAGCTCGAATTGTGTCTTTATTACATGCGAGAAAATAAATGATCTGAGAGAAAAAAAAAACTTTGAGAGAAAAAGTTTCATACAATAGCAAAAAATAATAATTTGAGACTAAAAAAAGTTTTGAGAGAAAGTATTTTCTCATAGAACATAAAAAAATATAAATTTTTAATTTTAAAAATTATTTCTGAGAAATAAAATCTCTCTCAAAATACTTTGAAAAAAATCAAATATATACTTTTTGCTATCAGTGTGAAAACATTTTCTCAAAAAAAAAAAAAAAAGTAAAAAAAGTGTTTCTCTCAGGATTTTGCATTCGCTGTGAAAATTGTGCCATGGGCGGGGCCACGTTCCTATTGGCCAGTCGGGTGAGCATCGTCTTGTCTTGGGAGTCGAACTGAACCATTACACCATTGTTCGGTTCACCTAGATAGATGCCGGTGTGACAGTTTAACTGGTGATAGTCCCAGATGTGCCGTAGGCGTGGCTACAGGATCCATTGACTGCAAACCAGGAAATACGTTCTGATACTTTGTTTATCTCCGTAATGTATCGTCATGTAGATAAATGCTTCTGAGTGTAGTTTGCAGGCTACATCGTTAGCTGCATGATGATTCACAGGGACCTCTCCAACCTGCAAATGAGTTCAAAGCGAGGACTTTGAGCGTGATCACGGAGGCGACTGTGTCGCTGTTCAAAACACTAGAAAACCTCAATAAACCGTCCAAATCTTCATGTTGTCTGTCTGATTTGTGCCACGGTCGGTTTAAATGTGTTCTTACTTGGGAAACAGGCTGAGGTGTTTTATGGAAAAGAAATACCGAGTTTATAAAAAGTGACACAGATTACATAATTTGTTCATTTCCACACCTGTTTCTATAAGGAGTTTTCAACATCTGGGGAATATAAAGTACAGTGCTGAAGTCAGGATGTGGATAGCGTAGCTTAGCATAATGACTGGTAGAAGAAGGAAACAACTAGCCTGGATTTGTCCAAAGGTAACCAAATCCACCTTTGGTCATTTTGGTTCTTATTTTGAAAGTTTTCAGTCTTATTTTGGTCGATTTTGTTCTTAATTTGATGGTTATGGGTCTTATTTTGGAAGTTTTCTGTCTTACTTTGGTAGTTTCCGGTCTTATTTTGGTAGATTTGGTTTTTTATTTTGGTGGTTTTCAGTCTTATTTTGGTAGATTTGGTTCTTATTTTGGACGTTTTCAGTCTTATTTTGGTAGATTTGGGTTTTAGTTTGGTAGTTATGGGTCTTATTTTGTTGAGGTTTGTCCTTTCTATCAGTATTGTGGGTGGTTTTTGAGTCAGAAAGTATCACACGTGAACCTCTTTAGGTTTAGGGGGCGAAAACGGCTCTGAACAGCTGATGGTTCTGCTCTTACCCCACCATGGCGGCGGTGGGTCGCGTGTTGTGCTGTGGTTGGGTGGAGGCACTGGTCGACAATGTGACATCACCTCCTCCCTTCTCCCAATCAAAAGGCTCGTTCTCGGTGATGATTCGCTCTTTCATGCTGTTCTCGAACACCGACATGAGCAGCTGGATAAAATAACAAGACACAGTCATGAATCTGAACTCATGTCCAGGACTCGCAGCATCCTGCAGACAGACAGTTCGCTTCACAGTGCATACCTGGTAGTCTGGTTTGGTGTAGTAGTCCAGAGCCAGGACGTGGTCCAGGAAGATATTAAACTCTGAAGGCATGTGTTTGAGCAGCATCCGATGGTCATAACGCTCTTTAATCTGACCAACTTGTTCCTGGAAAAACCCCCACCAAAAATCTCTTTTAGCTGCAGCAAATTAACAAAGATTCAGCTGAAGTTTTAAATTCACACCTTTAATATAAAACAGGTGATCATCAGGCAAACAGGACAGTCAAAACCAAAATATAAACCGTTTTAAACCTCATTTTAATACAAATGTAATAGTTTTATGAGGGGTTTGCATGGTTCATACTTAGTCAATAAAATACTTAGGTGTGAAACCTGCATTCATTGATTTTTTTATCTAAACAAACTGTGGAAAACATCTGACATGTTGCCATCTTATAAGTTGTAGAAGCTAACTACTTTCACACAAACAGGAACCTTCAGGTCTGAAAAGAGCCTTAAAGGAGACCTATGCTTTTCCAGTCCCATATTCTAGTTCTGTGACTCCTGTATAGCAGCTCTGCATGATGCAAAGTTCAAAAAACATTTTATTTTCTTATACTGACTCTTCATGCAGGCCTTCATTTCAGCCTCTGTGTGAAACAAGCTGTAGATGCTCCTGTCTCTTTAAGGCCCCCCCTCTCAAAGCCCACTGCCAAGACCTGAAGCATGTTACCAGGCTGTTGTTGCTGGGCAGAACAGGCAGACTGAGCCGTTGCTGGGCTGTTGCTATGGGAGCACATGCCCATATATGGGCACCAGCTCCATATTACGCCATTGGTAGAAAAAGCAGTTGAAAACAGGAAATCTGAGGTTTTTGCTCACAGGGATTTCTTTTAAATACTTTAACCTTATTATTTGAAACTCTGGCCATGTTTAACATGAACATCCAACATTATAACATTGTAGATAAGTCGTAAAATGTGGAAAAGCATAATAGATCTCCTTTAAAGCTGCATCCTCTCTAGCAGCCAGCAGGGGGCGCCTCCACCGGCTGCAGAAAGAAGTGTGATTGTATAGAAGTCTCTATACTATATATATATATATATATCTAAAATGTTTCTACTTCTCAGCTGATATTCCCTCAGTAAACACTTCTGATGCTAGTCTTCAAGTCTTCTTCAACACAGCATGATGTTCATTTAGTAAATTATGGTCCCATTTAGAGGAACAGAGACCAGGAAGCAGGGGAGGCTTTAGGGCGGGGCTACAAGCTGATTGACAACCTGTCAATCAGGATAGAGGCGACTCGTATCCGCTGCTCTGTGTACATTTAACCAGCGCTGCATTTAGTGTCGGCTGGTCATTTTTCAGTAAGTATGTTTAGTTTTAAGCCTGTTTGTCGCTAGCTCCACAGCTTGTCTTGTAGCTAGCTAGCTCCACCTTGTCGTCCAAATCACGGTCACGTCTGTTTCCAATGAAACAAGATAGCGACGGCCAAAAATGCCAAACTGCAGGCTTCTTAACTGCAGTCCACAAACCAACGGGTGACATCACGTCTGTGCTTTCACATCCAGCAGCTACAGAGCAACATAATCATACCATTGAACTGATGATGGTGAGTCCAGTGTTTTCTCTCTGTTAGCTCTGTGTTTGGTCTCCACCAGCTCCTGAGGGAAATATCTGGCTCTTTAGCTGCTAAACGCTCCACTATGTTCACCAGCTGCTCTCTGACTGAGTCTGTCTGCTCGTGTACGGCGGCTTTATCAGAACCAGATAGGAAATGTGCCGCAAAACCAAAAGTAGGAGCTAAAAGAGGCTAAAAAAACTCCGTAGAGCTGCAGAGATGGTGATTATTACAAACCTATCACATTATACATATTCATTTGATCCATTAGTAAATATATTATTCAGTACAGCTTTAAAACGTGTCTAAAACATAGGATAGGATAGGGTTTTATGAAGCTATAAAATGAAGCTATGCTCACAGGCTACACTCTACTGTTAGAAAGTCAGTAACTGTGGAGGTACATGTGCGCGAGACCGGTTCCTGGTTTGTTTATGTTCCGGTGAAGCAGTCTGACCTTATCTTTTATCTTTCGCCATGGCAGCTGTCCCACAGCAAACTCCACCAACATGTAAAACAATGACCACAGGTCATCGTGGCGACCCATTTCCTGCAGGAACACAACAGAAACACATCATTAGGACGTGGTCGTTCACCATTCGTGGTCCGTCTTTGTGTCCTGAACCACGACTCATCAAGCACCGACAGCAGAGCGGCGTCACATATAAACTCAGAGCACCAACGCTGCTGCTGGTGAATATTTCATCATTCACCAGGATCATCAGAGTCACTGTGGTACTTTGTGGTTCCAGTTGTTCAAAGACAACAAACAGCACTGACCTTGTTTTTATGAGAGCGTTGACTGAGGCGTAGCGGACTGTCCCTCTGAAGCCTGCCACGGTCCTCGGCTGAACACAAGACGAAGAGAAGTCAGTCAGCGGTCACATCAGCACGCTCCCTGACCACAACTCACTAATGAATCTTCTATTCCTAGACGACATACTGCTGCTCCAACACATAAAAACATAAATCTTGTCCCCAAACAAAAATCTGGAGACTGGTAAAGCCGGGAGTGTGAGCAGTGAAATCTTTTCATGACAACTATTTGGTTTTCATGTTCTCTGGATCTTCTTCTAAAATACAGTGTATAACAACAGCATCATGGACAATACAGACTAGTGAAAACACAGCTTGTTGTGGCTGAATCCAAACAGAAAAGGCTTAAATGAAAGTTAACGACCTGGACGTCATTAGCTACGCAGAGACAGCTACATTTGTGTATTTTTTTCTATAAGGCAAATGACCAAATTACATTAGTAGCCTCTTCAGCTTTGCAGTCAGTACTCATCGTACCCAGTCCAGCAGGCAGCTGCTTTTAACCCAGGATGACTTCATTGTTGGGAAAGACTGCCTTGTCATACTGTGCACCGTCTACTTGGAACTCCTTGAGAACTCCTTGCAGAGATGAGTGTAAATGTTTTAAATAAGCAGGCTTTCCATTCGTGTTAATTTAGCAGTCCCGCTATAGACTTTCGAAGGCCTTTTGTGTGACTTTGCGCAAGCTTTTCTGATAGTTGTGATGTTCTTGGGCATTTTATTGCTTGAAATTGTGGGAATAAGTGCAAACTGCAAAGGTAGATGTGATATTTTTCACATTAGAATTATAGTTGAACCATTAAACAGTCCCTCCAGGACTTTGCAAGCCTGACCCTGACCCTAGTGTCTTTTAGCGCTTGCAGCTGACCGGGATGCAGCAGCCTGTGTCTCAGTGTCTTTCTGATGTCCTCCATGTGTTTCTGACATTCTCTCCGTATGTTTTGAGGCGGCAAAGTGTTTGTCAGCATACGATTTCCTTTATGTTCGACCGCGATACTGCACGTTCTGCAGAACAGTTTCCCCGCTTTGAGGAAAGAAGATCTGCAATTGTGAGACGTTGCTATCACACAAGGAAGTGAGTTTGCTGACATACGACAACATTTTGGGAATGTGGGAAATGCATAGACTGTATATAAGAAATGGACGTAGTCATTGTGGACTGCCGTTTGAAGCCTCGAGTTTGGCCGATAGGGGGCCGCCATGTTGAGTTTTTTGCAACCAGGAAGTGCCCGGAAGTGATGCAGCGGAGCAACGTGAGCTAATACAGCGGTCTGTAACTCAGTCATTTTAACAGGGCTGATAACTTTGTCTAGTGAACAACAGGCTTAAAACTAAATGTACTCACCAGAGAAAGTGAACAGCCAACCTAAGCTTTTTCAATGGTGCTGGTTAAATTTACACAGCGCTGAGGGTACGAGTCGGCTCTAGCCTGATTGACAGGTCGCCTTTGAAAAGACTTGTCAATCATAGATAATCCCGCCCTGAAACACACTCTGCTTTGTGGTCTATTTTAAAAATAAATGGGACCATAATTTACACTAAATGAGTCATTTTGTGTTGAAGAAGACTTGAAACTAGCGACTGAGACCATAAACTCATCAAGTGTTTACTGGGGTAATTATTCAGCTGAGAAGTAGAAACATTTTACCGTTATTTCTAATGGAGCTGGACTTCTTTTTGCAACCAGAAGAGTCGCCCCCTGCTGGCCGTTCGATAGAATACAGGTTTAAGGGTGTGCATCACATCGCTGACCGGAAGCTTCCCGCTTGCCGAAACGGCGATAAGTCAAATTTGCAGTCGTGCTGAATTCACAGAGATTTGTTGAATTTGTGTTAATAGCTGCGAAATCTGGGAGGGACTGATTTAGTTGCTTGAAGATGTTTCAATGTGATGTTTTTTATAGTATTCTGTTAATGTTTTAATGATATTGTTCTCATTCTACGTCTGTAATGTCAAACTCGCTGTCCTGCTGCCTTTCTTGGCCAGAGCGCCTTTGAAAAAAGAGACTTTATCTTGTTAAATAAAGGTTAAATAAAAAAATAAAGAAGCTTGCTGCTACGTAAAAAATTCCAGCCATATTTGGATTCAGCCATGTCACATACTGGGCGTGTGGATCAGCCTGTGTTGTCGACGCTGAACTCGGTTCACGTGGTATTTTGTTTTCTGGCTGCAGCCAGAAACCATGAGTCATGAAAATCCAAACAAAGCACGAGCTGCTTGTGTAAAATTATTACAATCTAATTATCCTGAGATCATCATTAGATTCAGTCACAGACTTTATTAGACTGCACTGAAACGTGATGTGGCGTCTGAGCTGCAGCAGCTCCGTCCAGTGAAATCTCGTTTCTGATGTAAACTAAAACCAAAACAACCAAATAATGACACAAACAGAAACATCAGCAGAGGGTCACACCGCATCAACAGCCTCCAGCCTCGCCAGGAAACAAGCGCTCAACGACATGTTCCATGGTGATGTACTGGTGAGCAGGACACGATGGCGTGCAAAGTTCTCCCATGACAACTGAGAGACACGTGCTGACTTCGACAAATGGATGTAAATCTTGATGTCTTTATGACCTTTAAACTCGAGCCCGGTTTATTGGAGGAAAGTTTTGTGGTTAACAAACTAAAGTTACGTCCCCTCATGATTGTTGACTTTTTGAATCCTTTTTATTGTGTTCACCATGTTTAGTAGCTAGCAGGCTTCTTCTTCCTCACTTTTGTTGGCATACGCCTGCATTTCTTGGTGCTGAACGAAAACGTACGAGTCACGAACAGACTCTTTAAGGTGGAACACTCGTTTGACCTGAAGTCATAATCACACCTCCATGCGAAAGAAATTCACTGAAATGAAATATAGAACTAAGACAAACTTGCAAAATTGATAAACTATATTGATTTATTTATAGCTTAGTAAACTCCTGCCTGTCTGCAGGTCCCAGTCCAGGATCGTCCTCTAACACCTAAGCCCAGAAAGGACAAATGAACAACAACAGGAGGACGGAACAAAACGTTCCCTGCTGTTCCTCGTCTCTCCCCGCCTCTTCTCAGATGCGTGTTGCACAGGAGAAACCCTGATGAATACTACTAACTCTTAAACTTTTCCCTTTCCGCTCTTGTGTTTACTAATGAGGAAACAGCTGCGGTGGTGGTGGCGCAAAGCGAATCAGTGAGCAGGTGCGAGGTATTAGCGCTGTCGCGAAAACCTGCAAAATTGAGATACCGCTCTATTGGTCAAGCCTGCGGAGAATCGCAAGCACCGCAACAACCGCACTGTCCAGACTTTACACTTCAGGGCGTGTTAAATTAATAATTGCTAAAAGTCACTCTGTAACAGTTCAAGGACGGATCGCCGTGGCTGAACAAAAATGTTATCACGATAAAACATTTCATATCATACTGATAATTATCACGATAAATGTCAGGATTTCAGGATTAAGATTTTTGCTCCTGAGTGAAAATTGAAGAAACCGGATGGTTATTATGTGGTTAAACTTTTCTTTATGGTCAGAACGGGACAAACACCAAGAATCGAGTTAGAACATTCAAAAACTATTTGATAAAAATTAAAGTATAAATAAAAATCAAATAAATATTTTAACAGAAAAAACAAGTGCTAATTTGTTCATGATTCATATGAATTTAATTAATAATTGAGGAAAATTGTATTGTGATAATTATCATTATTGTTTTATTGCCCAGCCCTAGCTGTGCCTGACCCGACTTAAACCTTAGAAGCTGCAAGTGTTGCCGTGTTTTGTGCTGTTTAACTGTTTATTTTAAAGGTTAGCTAACTTGGCGTTAGCAATTGCGCGGCTAATGTGGCTAGCAGGCTCGGCGATGTTGGACTAACGTTGTGATCCTGAGGGACAGTCGAGAGAAACTGAACGGAAAGCCTCGTTGGAAGCTCACTAACTGACAGTGTGTCGGATGCCTGCAGCTGTTTTTCATGTTGCTTTCTGTGGAAATTTAGTTGTAACGTTACGCAGCGGTTAGCTGAGGACGGCCCATTCTGCTCCGCACCGGCGTGTGTTGGTGTTTTTGCGGTGCGTAAATTGACTTGATAGACAGGCCCTGAAGGCGACGATGAAGCTACGTCTGAAAAAGACAAAATCAAAGGACAGAAATGAGTTTGCTTGGCAATGTTGTTGACTAGCACCCAGCAGCTAGCTCGCGCCAAATGACTTTGTTAATGAAAAACCGCGCTGTTGAGCCCAAACATAGTACCACGGGGGAAATGACTTCAGCCCTAGGTGGTATCGGCGGTCCTCACAAGGGCAACGCACTTCACTTCTGAAAGCCGTACAATGAAGCCATAAGATAAAGTGATACCGACACACCCGTGGGTTTGGATCCTCCAACAACTGAACGCACTTCAACCTCTGATGGCGGCTAACGCGTTTTTGCTCTTTGTGGTGTCGGCTGGTGATGCGGCTGTGACCCCTCTGCTGCTATAAGAAACACTCACATCCCTGGATAACCATGGAGATGATGGAGAAACGGGAGGCATGCACGTCAAAATCATAAGTCCAAAGGAACTGTAAGAAAAACAAAAACAAACACTGAAAACGTAAAACGATGAAGACAAATCATTGATAAAAAGAAGTGATGATTGGTGATCAGTACAGGCTGAACATCATGCAAACTGTTGCTGCATTAAACCCGGGGATCCAAAGGTCATTTTAAATACAGCTGATTTCTGTGGAGAAAAAGTCAATAGATTTCAGAAAACACTTCTTGTACACAGAAATTATGGCTTAAATCACAAAACTTTATCCTTTGTTACAAATCTGACATTAATCTCAGAGCTTTAAAGGGTCAGGGTTAAACATGATGATCAGAGCGCATCCTGTTCAACACGCCACGCGTTCACGTCACAGGCCTCAGTGTTCCAGCCGTCAGAGGCAGAAGCAGCAGAGCTATTTATTCCACCACGATGATTTATTCATCGGTCCATCAGGGCAGAGAGACAGCTGATCCTGGAGCAGCATGTTTTTGCGTCTGTGTGACTAATTGGGTCGATTTTCTTTGAAACTGGTCCAGTATTGAGCGAGCTGCAGTCAGCAGCAGCAAAACAGGTCTTTGTAAGTGTCTGACAGCATGATGGAGAGGATCCCTCCAGAGAGAGAGCTTTATATAAAGAGTAAGATCCTTTCTGTTTAACCAGAACCTCGTCAAATCCACCAAACTCTGTAGATAAAAATACAAACCCTGTTTCCAGAAAATGTTTTTCCAAAATGCAATAAAAACAAACATCGGGATTCGTTAATTAATGTAAAGCTTTGTTTAACTGAGAGAAGTACAAAGAAAAGATTCAGTAGTTTAACTGACCAGCGTTAATTGTGTAAGTTAGATTTCATGCCTGCAACACGGTCAACCAAGCTGGGAATGAGGCGTGTTAACATCGTGTCGTGTCTTCACGAAACTTCAGCTGCTCAGCCGTCTGTGGTCGCCCTCTTCATGATGCGCCACACATCTTCAGCAGGAGACAGACCAGGGGCCTCATTTATAAAACCGTGCGTAGAAACCTCGCTAAAAGTGTCAGAAATGGTGTACGCCACACAGACCCAGGTACTGATCTGGATTCCCCCGTTTGAACAGAGAGGAAACAGAATGACTTCCTCTGTGTCTAAACATTTAGTCGGCTCGCTGAACGAGGTGCTGACGAGGTAAAGAAATAGGACTTGTTGGAAAGATTTCTTTAATATAACAGTGTTATACTGTTCGTAACGCCGCGCAGTGCATCCACACGCTGGCGCTCAGCGTTTGGCTCATAAGGCGACGAACATGTGAACATATGAAACTCTGCTCTCGTATTTGCTCGACTGACGCTCTGAAAACAGCATCAGCTCAAATGTAGTTTTTCTCCTGTTCACCTTATTTAGAAAAATAAATAAAGATTAAACTGTATAAAATATTTGAGGCTGTTTGCAGAAACAGAATCTCTGTTTGGGTTTATGATCCTGAATCTGGATCTTTTTGTGGCTGTAAATGATTTTAATGATGTTTTTCGGCCACTTCAGGGAAAATCAGTCAAACGGGTGTTTGTTTATTTAGAAAGGCTTTAAGCCTTTTTAATCTCAACGTCTCAGCGATGTGGACTCGCATTTCTTGACGCGGGGTCAGACTGTGTTCTGAAGTCCACCTGTGGCTTTATTGGTCCTGAACCTGAAGGCTCGAAGGTCACGCACCTTATGTATGGTTGACTTTAAAATATCTAAATTCCCTGCAATCTTGCGTTTGTGTGTTATTGTTATGACTGTTTTTTTTTAACCCTTTAAAACAACAAAGTCACTCAACAAACCGGCCGAGGCAGCGGCACACCAGCGACTCCCGAGTCCTGCCGGGTTAAATTGTCTGGTGGCTTTGACGAGAGCTACAGAGTGACTGTTTCTCTGTGGGGATCCTCTCCATCCTGCTGTCAGACACTTACAGACCTGTTTCCCTGCAGCTCGCTCGCTCAATACTGGACCAACCTTTAGTAACATAGACACAAAAACACAGGTTGACAAATAGCTTTCCCTGCCAGAGCAGGTAACTGAACCCCAAACTGCTGCATCAGATTGATTAAGGCAGCGCAGTCCTTAGAGCAGGGACGGAGAGCAGAATGAGTCTAATGATCTTCTATTAATTTCTTTTCATAATCAAATCTCTTCTTCCTGTTGTCCGCAGTTTATTCTGACTCGGCTGAATAAAAGCGCCCTGTGGAGATCTGGGGCGCGACGATGCAGCGGCTCTGGACGCGTCTTTCACGCTGGTTTAACACGGAACCAACGTGCTAAGAAAGGCAGCTATGCACCAGGACAGGTGAACAAGAAGACCGCTAGCAAGCAGACGCTTATTTCAACACCGGCGCCCGTATTCATCAAGCTCCTCAGGCCGGTAGGGGCCCCGTATGTGGGCCATAAGATTAAGCTCAGTGGATGTGAATGTGGACGAAACAAGGAAAATTCAGGAGCTCTTATCAGACGAAACAGTCGCTTCACTCATGGTTTCAACGGTAACGGAGACACGTTTTAATAAAAATCAAAGTTACATTTGTATTTCAAAAAAATGGCAAACTTATTAGCACATTTTAACAAAACTTCCCCCTCGTGCATCATGGGAATTCTGAGAGATGGACGTAGACTGAGCCCAGGGTTTATTTACGGCGTCCGCCGGAAGCCTCTCAGAAGCGTTTCAGCAGCGGAGCGCTTTCATTCCTCAGGTGCATCTAGCATTTACCACAGGAGCATTTCAGAATAAGAGCGTTTTGCCTGCCAGATTTTGCCGACACGTTTACATTTAGTTGATTTGGTGATTAGTGCTTGCTTTTTGTGCTTCGTCTATGATTAAGTAGCTACGTAGTTATTTTTATTTATTTTTTGCTGATTTAACTGTGTTTATTGTTTATATACGAGTGGAAGTCTGTCGGGTATTTTATTTTGAAAATTTACCGGATTCTCGCCCGTTTTATGTGTCGGACTTCCTGCCGTGTTCATCTGCTCTGTGCTGCTTGACGCTGGGACGCTTCTGGTGTGAGCACAAACATTTAGTAGAGTGGCTGCGATCAGCTCCGGCAGCAGCGAAGCAGGTGGGCCCCGCGATGAAGCTCCGCCCCCACTGTGCTGAGAGTCCAGCTCCGCCCCGTGTAGGACTAAATATTAAGTATCAGTCTGAGAGCTGATTCACGACACAGGACCAATCACTGAAGAGATTTCCTTGTTTCAGAATGTTCTCAGATAAATTCACACTGAATGGTGAAACTCGTCAGAGGAGTTTACGTTCAACAGACAATAATCCATTTTCAAGAGAACACATTTTGACACACACATCGGAAATGAAAGTTGATCTTTATATGAGCACCATCAATTGCACCCGCTGCTCCTGGGAAGCCCGCTATTTGCATGGATTGTGTTTGCGGGAGGTGTGTGAAGCTGTGAGAGCCACAATTGTTTCCATGACAATTAGGCTTATTGATGGTTGTGACGGCCCTGGACCATCAGCACTGCTGCGTTTGTCCTGTGGCAAAACAACGAAGCGTCATCACCACCG